TCGTGCTCTGGTCCATGGGGCCACGGAGAGTCGGACACAACTAAATGACGACAACGAGTATTTTTCCTAAGTGTTACATAACTTTTTTAAGTAGATATACAGAGCTGCAAATCGCTGTTTAAACTTGCAATTATGGAATTGGGTTGCAGTCATATTGTGAATTTTTAAGAGAAACCATATATACATTGAATTTAGCTATTCTCCCATAGTGGAGAATGAGCAGTTTCTAAATAAAATAGTGTTAGCAGGTTATACTAAACTGAATTGGTACTAAGTACAGAAGTCTTAGTATTGTGAATTTCCCTTACCTCTCTTTCTTTCCCCATCTCATACTCTGAAGTGTGACGTTAAGGAGATTTCTGCTTCCATCTTCATTTTATGTTTGAAACTGGAATTCAAGTTAATCGTACCTTTGGTTAGAGAAATGTGGCAGGATAATAAACAGCAGTTGGACTGTTTTCTTAACACTGCATAGTTTATACATGCTCAGACACAGCAACTGTGATTAGATAAAAAACAAAACAAAACAAAAGCTTCTGATCTCCTTATAACTTCTCCAGAAGTGAGGAGATTGAGCCCAAGGCTTGTTCCCATAATGCTAAAATATACCTTTTAACCAGAGTAAGTCTTAAAATTATTTTTAAAACAGGGAAATGCTTTGATATTATTTCTCGTCCAAAATAACTGTACAGATAATAATGCTATATTCTTTTTATCTAGGTGACAAACAGCATGTTTGGTGCTTCAAGAAAGAAGTTTGTAGAGGGGGTCGACAGCGACTACCACGATGAAAATATGTACTACAGCCAGTCTTCGATGTTCCCACATCGATCAGAAAAAGATGTAAGTTTTTGTGACCACTAAAACCTTTTTTAAAACTGGCTAGAAACATGCAATTTTTAAAAATCCAGAATATGGAACTAAAGTTGTGTCTAATTTTCAAGGCTTTTTCATATATTTGTAATGTAGTGAAAGGACCATGTTGCATGTATGTGTGTGTGTGTGTGTGTGTATGTTTAATGATTTTACTCTTTCAAATATACTTTATAGATGACGATTCAATTTTTTTCATGTTTAATAACTTTTTAATGGTATACGTTTATTTTGTTTTAATTTTAATTTAATTTTACTTTAATGATCTGTGAGCTGCCTTCAGTCCACCATTGAGTAGAAAGGTGGCATACATGTGCAATGAACAGATAAATAAATAGACCCAAATTTTGACTTGGCTGGAATTGATTGACTTGAAGTAATTGCTTATTGCAGGTTCTGTATGTGTGTGTATAAAACTACCCCCCCTCCTGATAGGCTGAAGAGCTCGGGTTGTTTTTGCTGTGTTTTATTTGTATTCCACCATTTCTCAAGAAAGTTCAAGATAGCGTGCTACACTAATAAGCATACTTTCTTAAATGAACAAGGAGCTGGAAAACTTAGGTTGTTTTGGTACCACGTTTGGGCATTAAGATGATGCTTGAAAAGTGATAGCAATCTGAACATTAAGCAGGATATGTTGCTAGAGACATACCAGTCATAGTCTTGTTTGTGTGAATTTATGCCAGCATAATCTGGATCAGGTGCTGGAAATATTTAATTTAAATGAATGGAAAACCTTCTACAGTATCACCCTTTTTCAGATTCAAATGCTCACTATGGCTACTGTTTGCCTTGGGAAAACCTTTGGGAGCTTCTGGACAATGGGGAGATGGGGAGTTTTTAAGAGTTAAAAAATTGTTCTAGATTGGTTCTGGCTGTCCTGATTCTAATGGTGCCAATCCAGTATTATTTTTATTTTTATTTTTTATTTTTTTTTTAACTGTTAAAAACGTCCACCAACTCCATTCAAGTCTACTAAAGGTTTCTCCAGAGCAAAAGGGAGCTTTAGGAGCTTGGGAACCTGAAGGGCTTGTGTGTGAAATACGTTTTCCATTAATTTAAATTAAATATTTCAACCCTCATTCCGGGTTATGTTGGGGTAACAAGATTTTACACAATAAGACTTTGCCCACGGTGTTTAAATCTGGGGACACCATTTTACTGTCGTTTAATGGCCAGTTATTTGCTCATAATTTATTAATTTCTGTTCCACATTACCAAAACTTATTTATATCAAGCCTTTTTTTATATGTATAGTTTGAAATGCTGTCAAACCTACAGTTCACTGCATTCCAATGGGGGGGGGGAAATTCACCAAAAATTAACGAAGACTCAGAACAAAGCCAAATTAAGTTTGCAAAGGTTTTACAAGGTGCACTAACGATCCCAAGCATTTAAAACAGTTTTTGAACATTTTAAGAACACTTAAAATAGTGAAAACGGACATCGCTATACGAAATTCGCCCATAGGGAACATCGCTAAACGGAGCGCAAAATCGCTCCAAAAACCTCATCGCTAAGCGAATACATCATTTAACGAGGCAGTCGCTAAGCGAGGCACCACTGTAGTTAAAAACAAATATCACTAAACCTACAATGAACTATAAGTATTAAAATATGAGTAAATGTGTCATAATATGAAAATGTAAGATTTAAATGCTTTTCAAACATCCCAATTAAAATAATAATACAAATTTCCATTAAAATGAAAGGCAGTCAGCAAAACTGCTTAAAACTTTTAAGGTCTTAAAACTTTTAAGGAAGGTCTTCACCTGCCATCAGGAGAATGATGAAGGGGCCAATATACCCTATTGTGGCAGAGGGTCCCAAAGTCTGGAAGCAGCCATTGTGAAGGCTGTTCCTGGTCTTCCCATTTGAATGTTACTTAGTGTGGGTGACAAGATATAGCCCTGATGAATCCCACAGGCTAATGGCTGGCATAGCAGACAGGAATTCCACAACAGTTCTTTCTAATGGTATCCCTCTGAGAGGGATGAAGGGCTATGCAGAACAATGTCTTCAAGTCCTGTACCAGAGAGATAGCCCAGAAGAATACCATGATTGGTTGTATCAGAAGTTACAAAGAGACTTATCAGATCTAACTGACACAGACAAGCTTTCCTTGCTAGTTCAGGTTGCCAGCAAGATTACCAAAGCTCTCTTGGTCTCATTTTCAGTCTTGAAACCAGATTTAGATGGATCTAGCCAATCCATTCCATCTAGGAATCTGTAGTGCTGAGAAGCTACCACATGCTGTAGCATCTTCTTTAAGTGGAATATTAAAGTTTGACTGGTAGTTATCCAGGTTGATGGAGTTTAGGGAGAAATTTTCCAGAAGTTGTAATGCAGCTGCCTCTTTTAGGTGTGGAACCTTGCCTTCCTGAAACTACCCCTTCTCTTAACACTTTTTAGACAGCCCTCCCCCTCTTATGATTCAGAAAGGCAAGGGTCCTGTCTTCATTTTCTGGCTGTACAAATGAAAATGTATCCATTGTTACTGGATAAATTGGGTCCAAAGCACAGTCTACTATAATTGTGTTAACTGTGGCATCCAAGTCAGAGTGGATCTGATCAGTTTTATCTGCAAAAAGGCTACACAAATTGTTCTTAGGGTGCTGTTGAGTTGTCTCTGTTCTCTCATAAACTGGAACATAAGAAGTCACTTGAAACAGCTGAGTTTCACAACTCTGAGCAAACTCAGTCCTGGCAGTGAAAAATTTTGCTGCAAGCAGTGTCTAAGACTAGGCCTTCCAAAGGATTATAGTCTGCATCACTATTGCTACTGTATTAGCTGTTCATATTTCATCACTGCCAATTTACTTTAAATGAGAGGACTAGTTTGAATCTCCTTTGTGAGGGGAATACTTAGGAGCAACTATATTGACTGACTTGGCCATTTCACTTTTCCAGAGGTCAACTAGGGTTTCAACAGTATGATGTGCCAAGCCAACAGCAGCTTATCCAAAATCTGTGACAAAAATATTCTGATCCATCAGCCTCTTGGTGTGGACTATCTTACTTCTTCACAGAGTACCAGTGATTCTGAGCTCCATCAGGCAGTGAGCTATCCATTAAAATGAAATTGCAAGGAACTTTTCGACACCCAATCCCCATTATATAAATCTTGCACCATGAGCTATGGCTAGATACCACTTAGGACAAAACCATTGTTGTGTTGGAGGACAAGTCCTGAGCCACTCCAGATAATGCAAGTCTGAACTTGTGTATTTAAATCTATAAACATAACAGAACAGAGGATTCTAGCACCATCTCTAAGACTTGCTAAGGAAGAGAGTCTGGTGAGCAGTAGGATAGGAAGTATACCAATGGAGTTGCTCCCGTGTTTTGAGCACCTCTACCTTCAGGTGTACTCATACAAGCCTGGTAGACTTGGACCAGGGAGATGAAGTCATGTATGACCACTGCAACACCACCTCTCCAGTCTTGTCTCCAGCTATAGAAAAATCTGAGAGAGATTGGCCTTCCTCTCACTTCCTTGAATCAGATCTCTGTAATACAGGCCAGATTGGCATGCTCATGGTCACTATTTTTCCTTTCACCAGCCTAGTAGCATTTAACAGCAGTAGTTTTAGCCCAGGGGACCTTGTGCTAAGGCTGTCCAGTCCATTTGAAATGAAGACAACCAACGCTCTGTTAGAATTTTGGTCACTATAGTACTATTAAAACTGCCCTTTCCATATTGAAAACTTGATCACTGATATTTGGTCCATTCGGTTCATTGTCTGCTTAATGGCCACAATCCTATTGAGTACTTGTGCAGAGATAACTTGCACTTAAGCTTGTGTTGAAGCCCTTCTTTCCTGAAACCACAGCCACAATTGCTCCAAGACAAAAGTGCTGTCCACAAAGCAGTTCCTCAGGTGCAACAGGCTTCCAGGATTTCCTGGCTAAAGTGAGCCAACAAATATTTTTACTACTCTGCCAGACTGCCTTCTCCATCTTTCCCTTCCCTCAGTTGGCAGTTTTTATTGTTCCATCACATTGCACGTGTGTGTGTGTGTGTGTGTGTGTGTGTGTGTGTGTGTCTGTCTGTCTGTCTGTCTGTCTGTCTGTCTGTCTGTCTGTCTGTCTGTCTGTCTGTCTGGCAGGCTTTTGCTGCAGTATCTTTACGTTGCCCAAAGATGAACAAGATTTCTGTCAATAAACCAAAGTGTTTATGTGTAACCACACTAAAACCATAGGACAGTGTAAATTTTTCTCTTTCTGAATGGAATTTTATTACATAAATACACTGAAGTATTTATCAGTACCTTTTTTCTGGTCATCTGCCAAGTCATGCAACTCCTGTGTGATGAGAAAGTAATACCAGTTAAGTTCTGCTGGTGGATGTAACTAAGAGATAAAGGATTCTGGTCTGTGTTTTGCAGTAACAATCGTGGACAATAACAATTGTGATAATTAATGTTGAGTGCTACTATACCCTGTATTAACCTCTCCATTCTGAATATCATATTGAGAAATTATTCCCCTTAACCTTTAAAATTTGGTTGTTTTATTAAGATGGACGTGTCTAAATATTTCATAAAATTTATTTTCTTTCTGTTCCCCTGTTTACTCAGATATTTTAGGGACTCATAGCCCAAGAAAATACGCATATACATTAAGGCTCCTTCGGTTTCCAGTTACTCAAACTCCTTGTAGTGTATTTGAATCTGCTCTTCATGTAGTGATCAGTTTTATTGTAGCAGCTTCTCTGCACAAGGAGCTCTGGTACCAGGGTGGATTTGATTTAAATAAAATTGATTGAACCTTTAAAAATTGGAATTTTTTAACAGTTTAAATTTTTAAAAATCAGTTTTTTATTTAAATCAAGATTTAGATCACAATTAAAATCATGATTTAAATCAGATTGATTTTTAAAAAGCATTGATTTTTATTCCCTCTGTCTGGCATGCATCTTTTGATGATACTTTTTCTATCTGACCCACTGTATTCCATCACCATAGCATCTTCATTCTTCATCTGAGTTTTCAAGCGCTCAGAGTGTCTATTTACAGTATAGTGGTGTACTGTATGGTATAGCTTTGTTACAGTAGATGAATATATCAATATTATGATAGCCTTCAAAGAATTTACATGTGAAAACATTTAACTATCAAATCCTTGACTGACTTTATATTTTCTAATTTAGATGCTGGCATCACCATCAACATCAGGTCAGCTGTCTCAGTTTGGGGCAAGTTTATATGGGCAACAAAGTAAGAATTTTGCTTGTTACTATAGACCCCTTTATTGGTGTGTGTGTGCATGACAGAAAGAGAGAGAGAGAGGTAGACTGGGTGATTATTTGTTTATCAATATTTGAGTGTATTTGTATCTTAGAAATATGATGTAATATTTTCTTTCCTGGAACATTTTGAAAACTTACATGTTGTAAAAAGTTTAACGTTTACTTATAATAAATTTATAAGTAAATGTTAAACTTTTTTCAACATAGTCTCACATATAGTATCAGATTCTTACTATTAGTTTACTTATACTCTTCACTGTATAAGTTATATTGTTGGTTCAGGGCACAAGCAACTTACCTACCTCCTAAATTAAACTAGAAATCTTCTGTCATCTGAAGCAGGTATTATATTGTTTTGTGAAACTTCATATGTTACCAAAGGGGAATTGGTGGCCACCTCTTTCAGGCTTCTTTCTACTTCCTGTTTAATAGTAAGATTAAATAGGAAGTGGTTATCAACTGGAACAAGAACTGAAGCAAGACAAAAATGACCCATTTGTAGTAGGCTAACATCAGCAAGTTTTCACCTGCCCATATTATGCATGACATAATATGGGTTAGTGCTGTTTCCTCCCGTGGTACTGCTTCATCCTTCATTGAATGATGCAATCAAAATTGCTAATTTCTCATTCTTGCAATGTCCACAACTAATGTCTCAGGATCCTATCCCATAAGACCATTCATGTTGGAACCCAGAATTAATGTTTATCTCCTTCCACATATCTTGTGTATTAGAATATTTGTAGTAGAAAGAAACCCTCTCTTTTTCTTTCAAAGTTATGAAATGAATGAAGACATTAGAGAGTTTGGCCAATCCATTCAGATATAATTGATAGTTTTGGCACATGAAGTGAGAGCTCCCAGATCTTTCTTTAACAAAGGATAATCACAGGTCTAGCAGCTGCATATAACATCCCTGAACTGTTGGGGCCTGAAGTTCTAGACATACATAAATGAATTCGTCCCTAAAGTCAGTATTATTGACAATACTTTCTGCTATTTCAGGGAGGTGGTGATATGCATACCTGTTTAGTTCTTTGTGGCCTCTGTGAATCACATCCTGGGTAATCTGTGCATGTGTGGAATCTCGTTGGAATATTCTAGAGCTTCTGCAGTATTAAAAAAAACATTGTGTAGACTCCTCCCCCTCAGTATATGTACCTTGGCTCCAAGACTCTCCCTTCATTATATTCGCAAAGGCTTTCACGGCTGGGATTTAAGGGTTGTTGTGGGTTTTTCAGGCTCTTTGGACGTGTTCTGAAGGTTGTTCTTCCTAATGTTTCGCCAGTCTCTGTGGCCGGCATCTTCAGAGGACAGCACTCTGTTGTCCTCAGATTGCTTTCCTCTGAAG